ACACTTCAACACATCCAATCGCGCAGGAATAAGAAAAACATACGAAAACTACATTGCACATATAAACAAAACCAACAAGGCGCATAATTACCAATCAGAAAGTGAAGCAGAAAAAGCGAGAAAATACACCAACACCAAAATGGAACCGCACGAAGTGAGCGCGAGAAGTGGCGTGGCTAACTTGTACGTTTATCGCTTTTATCGTAAATTAATATGTAGCTAGGCTATGAGCTGGCAGAGGCGGAGACGAACTGAACTTGTTGTCGGAATTGCTTTACTGTTTGTTGTTGTTGCTGCTACGGTGGTTGAGGTTTTTGTTATTGTAGATTTACACGTTTTACTACAAGCAAACGAAAGCAAAAGTGAGGCAAAAAACGAAAGGTGCAAGAAGAGAAAAGCCAAGAAAAAGTGGCAGGGCGGTTTGAGAGGAGACGGCACAGTGAGTTGAAGCAAAAATAAACGCTTTCGTTTTTTCTAACCCCGTTCACCTGTTGGCGACTTTGTAGTCCAAAAAAAAAAGCAATTATCGCAACTATTAAAATTAACAACAACAAATGAGCTGCAAATGTAAACCTCACCGGCAATTCATTCGTTCAGCAAAATTTAATTTGATGTAGCAATTAACGCCCCCGAAAACTCAATCTTTCAATTATAACACCCGTGTATGTTGTTGTTGTTGTTAGTGCTTTTGCACTGTTGCCAAAACAATTTGCGTGGTGGTGGCGCGCTCTTTTGAAATTTGCAAAATTTTTGTTTAGCTAAAAGAACGTTCTGGCCATTATTGTAGAAATTTGCAAGCTGTGTGTTTGCCCAGAGAAGTGGCCTCACCTGAATTTAATCGCAAATCGCCGAGAATTTTTTTGCTACTAACTAGCAATAGTCGTTGCTGCCAATTTAAAAGCACTAACTTTACTTGCAATCAAAAATAAAGTAGAATAAATTATACCAAAATTAGTTTGGAAACAATTCGACATCGGAAATAATCAGCATTAAATATCGAATTCTCACGATTCGTTGTCTTTAACTGAGTGTTGTGTGGCACCAATTATGTTATTACTGTGATTTATATTGTTTTTCAGCCACACTGTTTTATATGTATTACATGACACAAGCCACACACACATACATACAAACACATACACCTAGTGCCATGTGTATCTCACTACGAGCAGCAAATTATCTACATGAATTTTGGGTTGGCCCGAAATCGTTGCTCTTGCTGCCTTGAATACCATCAACTTGCAAGTGGCTTTGTCAGTAATTCGTGGCAAATTAAAACACATACCTACACACAGCAGTACGTTGTCTCTGCGGTATGCAATGAGTTCGGCTGCGTTTTTTTCATATATTAGTTTTTTTGGCTTTGGTGCCACACATTCATCAGCCTACAGCATCAAAAATTTGCAATCAATATTTAACCATTCTAGACTTTTCGTTCGCATTGGGTTTGATGTGACACACACATTTTTTTGTCTGCCTGCAATTGTGCCACTTCGGCTAGAATGCAGTTGCAATTAACATTCTATTGATGAAAAATGGCAGAAATCTTCGAAGCGTATATGCAGCTGCCATTTTGGCACATTGATCGTTTGCAGCTGTGGCATATCGTGAAGCGTAAACGTCATAAGCCACCAAAAATACTATGCTGATAAGTTCTTTTGGGTGCGGTAAACTGGAGATTTTGCAGCAGATTTAAAAAGACGCCCGTTTTCTTCTTTCTGAATCATTCCCTTTTCGAAATGAGTAGTGAAAAAGGTGTTACTCTTTAATGTTATTTGCATATGAATTGTCGAAATCTTCTCCTGGACAGCAATAAGAGCTAAGAAAAACGGCATTTAGTACTTATGCTGTAAATACTTATTTAGTTTATAATGATTCAATTATCAATAATTCAATCTGGCTGATTAATGACTTTGCCCTCAATTCGTTGCTTATACAAAAGACTTAAGAAACGAACCTGTCTCATCAAATGCCTATCGAAACTGAGCAAATGTAGACCAGAATAAATAAAAGCCATAAAAACATTTACCGTCGCTGATGGCAACAAGTATAACTTTTTTCAGAAACTTTTAACTATAAATCAAAAGATATTGGAAGATATTGAAATCAAAATGAAATTTAAACTTTGTTGTATTGCTTTTTCAAGGGTACTATTAGATTCTCTCATTACCTATTATGACCAGTATGACCAAGTTTACCTTTTTGGGGCTAGACTAAGTAATTATATTTTCGCTTTAGCTTCGGAATTTTAGGTCTCGCATCGTGACTTGTTTCTGGATTTTATTAATGCTAACATTTTTATAAGTAAATAAATACCTTCCTATCTGAGAATAAAATATATTTTAAAATTATTAATTATTAATTATGTTAAAAATCGTGAGGTGAACTTATCGTTATCACTCTTTTTCTTCCGGAAATATTTGACAAATGAGATTAACCTTTGGACACTCGAGCAGCCAAGATGAGACAGTAATTAAATTGTAATGGTAAGTTCTTACAAACAGACCTATGCAACTATGTTACTTTTGTCATAAAACCAGTCGGCCAAACGAGGAGCTCTTATTGATCAGAACTTCTCGGCAGGCATTTTTAGGTAATATAGCTATTAGTTAATATGCCTTGGAAGCTATATTGGAAGACCTTCCAATCAAATAGCAGAGAAGCAGAAAAGAAGGTTTTTTTTTGTAAGGAAACGGAAGTGGAACTAAATTGTTACTGCGTCGAGCTCGGACGGCCTATCGCTTACAGAGATCAGAAAAGGTCTCTAGAGGCCAGCTGCAAAGTTTTGAGTGAAAAAATTTAACAATTAATTTAAGGAGTACCGTTAACTTGAATTTGAAACGGTGCTCTTAAATTTTTAGGTGGCATAAAATTGCTGAAGCTTATTTTTGAATTGAATTGTTAACCTTATTTTTTATGGCTTCTAAACTTTTCCAACCTTTTTTATGTAATTTTAACTTTTTTTTTAAATCTGTAACATTCTTAGGTTTCAAGCAATGCTTAGAAAGGCCAGTTAGCCGGAGAACAATTTCAAAACTAAATTTTTTTCAATTAAACAAAATCTTTGTTATGAAAAGAAGACCTCCATTGACTTTTGGGAAATTTTTTTTATTCTGTAACACCTCGATTTTTTCCGATGATTTAATATCAGTAAAACAATAACTGGTTAAAAGTGAGATATTTGAAGACTGGGGGCTTAAAAACGACCATCTATGCATTATAGATAGAATATAATTTTCTCTAATTTAAACTCCGCAAAGAGGAGGACATACCCGAGACATATCGGATAAAGCAAAATATGATAAACCGGTGCACTGATGGCTCATTGACTGAAGAGGGTTTTGGGATAGGTGTAGTTTAATAGAATTTGAGATACTTGGAAGATATGGGGGAAAATATGTTAATTTTCCAAGCTGAAATGTGCGCTATAGAAAAATGTGCAAACCTGAATGTAAGATCACATCAGATAAAATCTAACCTGGTGGTGGAGTGCCTTGATAAGCTGAATATTCTTGGTCCAACCAATCGAGTTTGGGTTCTATGTATTCCGGGACATTCTGGTATTGAAGGAAACCAGATTGCTGATAGACTTGCGAAGAAAGGAGAATCAACCCCTACATCAGCCCAGTGCCCTTCTGTGTCTTTGGAAAAACTACCCTCTCTGACCTGGTCCGACTGGATGAAGAGGCTTAAAGAAGTCGCTACTGGGACAATCTACTAAGTTTAGTGCAGTTCAAAGCAATATTTAAAAAATAAATATAACCTAAAAAGCTTTGAGGAATGCATGAACTTATTCAAGAATAACTTAAAAATTGTTACAGGTATCCTGAGAGGACATTGCAGACTGACCACTCAACTAGGAATTTACTTGCAGGAGCAATGTAGATTTTTCAAGATGGATATCGAAACTAGAGAAACAGAGCTCATCTTGGAAAGGTGTCCTAAACTGATGCACAAACGTAAAATATACATTTAATAACCGAGGGCGTAGTGTAATCCAGAAGATTAGGCTTAGGCTAAAATTTATCTCAGATACTTTAAATCCATGAAGGTGCCCAATAGATCGTTGGGTCGCCGTGATTTATCTCCAACTACAACAATAATAGAAGATTTTCGTCTGCAATTGTTCAAGAAGAAATTCTAGTTAATTTCTAGTTTTTATTTAAAGCAAAAAAACGAGCAAAATTTGCTTAATAATGAAGCATTGATAGTAAAATGTAATGCCCTTTAAGTTTGTTCCAGAAAATTCGGGATTTTCGCGGGAAGGTTCAATATTATATTTTATTTTTATTTATACGCATTTCGAGAGTTTTGCTTGAAATTGGTTTTTGGAAACTCTTGATTTTCAATACGGATATGTATGTAAATAAGTGTTCAATATTGAATAACATTTTTTTTTTTTGTAAATTCTTCCAGAGATAATATAATATCTAAATTTAAATACTTGTCTGTTTCTGTGACGCGCATATTTAGGTATTAAAGAGTACATCGCTGTTAACTAACAACAAGACACAATAATTCAATACTGATTACTCATCAAAGGTATAATTTTTCAGTTTTCGTTCACAAACGCAGCACGAAAAAGATAACACATAAAAGAATTGTTTCACAAAACACAGACGCTAATGCGACAGTATCGCTTTCCCCTTTAGGAAAAAATACAATTTTTGTTTCTCGTCGAAAAGCCGCTTGTGATTTTCTGTGATTCCGCGCACTTTGTGTCACTGACGGTCGCACTTTGCTTTTCTACATTTCTTCATTTCTCATCACAACCAAATAGAATTCAATTCGATCGAATGCAATAAGTAAGAGAAAATCACGCATTTCACTTTGGCTACTTTCAATGCAGATGCGCATGCGTCAGCAGCATGGCCAGCACGAGATAACACAGCGTAAAAAATCAATCAATGAACGCACATCACAAATAAACGCATATCAAATTGAGAGCCATGCTAGAGTGTAGAGTAATAGAGGCACTAGCGTAACTTCACAAACATTACCGTTGTCCGTCTTAACGCGTGCGCCGTTCAACAAAAGGACAACAAATGGTTCGAGAAATTGAACTGGATGATGAATGGTAAATTGAAGCTTGTTGCGCGCTGTTGTGTCGCTGTGTTGCTAACACTTGAAGGTTTCGTCGTTGACTGACTGAATGCCAAGCGAACGGGTTATTCATGCGCGAAACTATTCGTAAGCGCATGATTTTTGCTGCTTTTGCTTTTTCTACAAAAATGTGCTGTGGAATGCTTTTGTTGTTGAAACATGCTGCTGTTGTTGCTGGTGTTGCTGGTGCTGCTGTTGACAGCAAAGCTCGTTTAGCGGCAACCTGTTCGCTTAAAAGCATGTTTTGCTCGCTTGCTTATGTGCACTTGGGTGTGTGTGTGTGTGTGTGTGTGTGTGTAAAATGTGTAGCCAGCGAGGCAACTGTGAAGGCGCACCGAAATCACCTGTGCCGTTGCAGAAGCGTCAAGTAAATCACCAGTACCGGCTTAAGCTCGCATACACTCTCAATATGCTGCATTCTCTTTCTCTCTCTCTCAACGGCATACAGCTAGAAAGCTCGGGGTGCTTGAAATTGCACTGGCGACACTCTCATGGCTTTCATGTACCGGTCGTCGCATGCCAATAGACCTTAACCAAAGGTAGGTAAGTTATTCAATTGCAGCTTAAGGCAGTTGTTGTTGTTAATTGTAGCGTAGCCTAAATGCAAATAAACTGCATTGCTGCTGCCCACATTTGAGGCCGTTTTTTTTGCGAAAATTCTCGAAGCTTGCAAAGTTGTCAACAAGTTGGCCAATATATCGCAATATTTATTTGCAAAAAAAGTATGATTTATGTATTTCGTTTGCGCAACAGGCATTGGTTTTAGGCCTACTTACGCCAGCTGTAATTAATATCGTTTCTAAATGTTTAACAACTGAACCAAGCAAATAAATACTCATTTGTTGCGTGTATGCCAACCACAGTAAGCTACAGTCCAACAGGTTGCTTAAAGTCCACCAATTTATTTAATAGGACCAGTTACCTATCCAGACCTTTTGAGATTGAGAAAAACATTTATTTTGCCTGTATGTAGTCACTTGATGTCAAGAAATCCTGATAATAGCTAATCTTACGGTATCTGAAACTAAGATAACAACACAATTTAACCGAAACTAGCACTGCCGAAGCTCTTTGAAAATTATTAGAGGTCTGGCCAACGGCTTAAATGCTATACGGCTACCACCAAATAGATGTGTACTATACCTCTTCGTCTGTTTTCATCTACTTAAACCCCTATAAATATTTCAGCTGGAAATTTCCCAAAAAAAAAAATAAAATTGCCTCCTTTATCTGTGCTCGAGCTACGCCGGAACCTTGCTTCAAGAAACTTAAGATTATAGCACACATTTGCAGTACAATATCAAGGAGGTGTAAATACTATAATGGACCAAGTACTTTCTTAGGAAAAAATCTGAATAAGAGCTTTTTCAGAGGTAAAGGGAACGAAACAGCTTAATCCCCTCTTTCTAGCTAGAGCTTTGAGAGTTGGGCCCATTACAAAACTGGCCACATTATCTGCATAGGCCTGGTGGTAGATACCGGAGCTGTTGAGTGTGGTAATTTTTTATGTAGTATTTATTTTATCTAGAGAGTTTTTCAATTTGAGCTCTCTCGCTAATGTCAATGGATTTTTTTTAGAGCGTACGGTGCTCGGTTCGTCCTACTTTCAAGCCGGTGCTGCAGATTTCCATTCATTGGGGATACAACTTTCATTTCAAATAGGTTTCCGACATAGGATTGGAAAAAGAAAATGCTTTGTCAAACCTATTCTGTTTGCCTTCTAGCGCTCAGAACGGAAAACATCACTCAAAACTGATGTTACAAACAGAAGAATGTTCAAAAAAAAAACTGTTCCACAAATACGTCGAAAGTTAATTTTTTAATGTGTATTCTATTTTTAATGATAAAAGATTTATCCATTTGGGGTTTTTGAAAATATAAAAAGGTATTTTTCATAATACAATTTTGTAATCTCGGAGTTGTGCTTGAAAAACTGCATCTTTGAAATAACTGCCGCTTTTAATATTTTCGACCACTTGTGACACATATTATGAAGTATCTCTTCTATAACTTGTAGAATGTTAGTTTTTATACAATAGAAAGCAATTTTTTCCCTTGGTCCCCCAAGAAAAAATCCAACAACATTTTCGCTCGGTTTCTGTGTCATGTGAGGCCACCTTGTTCAGGTTTTTATCTATGTATATAAAAAAATGTTTTTTTTTTTTTCATCTGTCCAAAGAATTCTAAATAGAATGTGGCAGATGTCCAATATCGTCTTCAAATAAATTTTATTATTGACTTAATCATTGAGCGAAAAATATAACTCACCCCTGCAGAAGATGAAATATTGACCTGGAGACATTTGTCACCATTTTAGTTTCTTCAAATTTGTACTCAATTCAGCAGTTTCATTCATTGGAAAAGACCTCAAGCTCAATAAAATTGTTCGATAAGGCCATAAACAACAAAAAAAAATTGAATAAAAAAACAAAGGTTTTGGTAGGGCAGTCAAGTTTGGCGGCTGATAAATTGAAAGACAACATATACAAATTTTCAATTAACGATAACTAACAGGTAAGAGATTTCGGAAATTTTCATATAAAGAGCATTGAAAAGTTGCTCAAAATTGAATTTAAAAATTTATGTAAATTGGAGCAGATATTAAACAATTTGTTGTAATGCTTTTACTTCTACAAAAAAAAGATACAAATTCGTTGCATTCGATTTCTTATGGAAAGAAGATGTATTCCAAATATTTTCAATAGAGTTAAGTCTACCAACAAATAAAAATTTTAATCCACAATCAAACAAAAAAATATCACTAAGCTGCGGGTGTAATGTCATTCTCTTTGGTTGCACAGCACACCCGCAAAAGCAACATCCAAACAATAGTCCAAGCTACACCAAAGCAAATGCCCTTAACAAGCAAACGCCAGCCATCGGCATTTTTCACGCTTCGACAGTGGCATCACGTTGCGTTAGGTGTCACTTGAGCGCTCGTAAAAGAAGCACCATTGATTCTAACCAGTCCCGCAGACCGTATAAACAAAAAACTAAACAAGCATAGCCGATAAAAGAATAACAAACAACTCAGTGAATAACGACTAGAAACGAGTAAGTATACTTGTCACAGATGCCAACAACTATTTACAATTTATATTCACACTTTGAACGAAAAGTAGCAAAGCAATTGTTGCCAACTATTTTTAGTAAAATAAGCAACAAATAAGAATAATAAAAAATATACATAAATAACTAGTCGAACGGTTCAAGGCAGCGCACAGCTGGACAGGTTGTTAGACAAACCCCATAATTTTGTTTGCTCGACTTGGATGTGTGGCTTGTTTGAGCGAACATACATAAATAAATACAAACATCGGCAAAGCAGAGAGTATTCAGGCATTCTTTAATGCCTGCATTTGTGTACATACATATTTCATTTAACAAAGTGGTATGGCTGCCTGATGGAATCCGTTGGGGCGCATGCGCAGGCGTTTAGGTGCGCTGTCGCTGTGAGCTAGTGAATGATTTGCCAGTGGGTGACAGCAAGAGTGTTCTTGCAGAAGAAAAGGTAATTAATTGTTTTTATGTAATTTAATTATACCATTATGTAAATCGAAACTGAATGCCTAATGCGGTTTCAGAATTTTGACGGCTGGTAACGTTCTTCAAGGCCACATCCACCTATACAAGTAGTCAATAAGCTCTCGTTTGGAGCCAAGCCCAAAAATTCTTCAAATATTTTCTAATGTAAATAAATATGTAGACAAATATAGAATTCCATAAGAGCAAATTTTAAAAGATTCTTTACAGCGCATAATTTACTACGCACTTTCGCATTTGTAGACCATTTTACATATATAAAGAACTGATTAGAATAATATAAAAAATGTATAAAGAAAGTGTTCAGTCAAATGTCAACCATACCAGTTACTAGGCATTGCGGTTGCGCCTATCTAGAAAGCTTCAACTTTAGAAGCTAAAAGCTGTCGTCCGCTTCATTACCTATACTTACTTTTTCATAAACTTTTTCCATGACTTACATAAACTCAGTGCGCAGAGTTCGTGTTGTTCCATTTTATTCTTTTTTCCTGGCTAAAAACATTCACTTTTCACAGCAACGAGTCCAACATCCTGTCAACAACTTTATTTTGGCCTGTCTGGAAGAGGTCTGTAGCGAGATAGACACAATTTGCGAATATTGTAAGCAAAGCAGCCGTTTGTGAGTGTGTATGTATGTTTGTTTTGAGCGTTTCTTTGTTAGCCGTTTGACCACTTTCATTGCTGATGCTCTTGCCGGAGTCCATCTACGCTGTATACCGTTATTATAGACTTCATTTCTTGTTTTAAGTGAACAGTTAGCGCGGCGTGTACAACGCTGCCGGCATCAGTCAGCTTTCAGCGCTTAGGCGGCGGATTCCAGTGTGTCTGGCTTTTTGTATTGTTGCTTTTGTACGCAAGTTGTCAACAGGTCGTCTAAAGTTGCAACGGCAACGTCTACCGCGATCGCAATTGGAAACAACTACAAAAAGGGAATTGCAGCAGCATAATTTTCTGTTGGTTGTTCTTCGCGTGAGCGCTTTTTTGCTTTTTTCAGCTGTTGATGGTTAGTTATGGAAAATTTGCGCCGCTAAAATGAACATTATAAGTGTGTCATACATACTTTTCGGTTGTGCGCTGGCTTTAAAAGTGACAACTGAACGGTAAGACAGCCATCATAACTGCAGCAACTGTGATTGGCGTGTGCCAAGTCACATAAATCGGTTGCGGAATGTGCGAAAGAAATGGAAGAGGAAAACTAGCATTTTGCATACTTTTACTGGAAATTTTTATGAAAATAATTTCATCTTTGAAACCAACATGAACGTAGTTAGCAGGAAATGAGGGGGATTTGTCTGAGGTATTTGGATACTCAATTCCACTGGAAATTTGTAAATTTGTTTGTATCGACCTTGCTGAATGAAAATACGTAGTACATTTATAAAATAGGTGCATATAGAGACTATCCCCAAATTCATCATAGCTCATGTCTTACGAATATATGCATATTGACTGAAATACGACTCGCGGCCCAAAAATGGTCGCCATATAGCCAAAGGAACTATTGCGCTATATTTTCT